TCAGGTGTTTCCTTTTCAGTTCTCCGCATTTGGTGCATGCTCGCGAGAGAATTCGCATCAATGGTAAGCCGATCAGTGAAATATCGTTTGCAAAGTACTTTTTCACCATGTACAATAAACTTAAGAAGGTGAGAGATAACTGAAATTAGTGTATCTGTTCTAGGCCATTTGAAGATTATAATTGCAGCATGAGCTCGAAGATGCAATGCCGTCTTATTTCAAGTTTCTTACTGTTGTTGCTTTCCATATATTTCTCGAGGAAGCTGTCGACGTAGCAATAGTAGAAGTTGGCGTTGGTGGCGAGTATGACAGTACGAATGTCATTCAGTAAGTTGCCACTCTCTCTTATATATTTAATTTTAGAGTTTGGATGTTGCAGTTTTGTTTTAATATTTCCTATTAGGCATCCGGTTGTATGCGGTGTGACCACCTTGGATCTGGATCATACAGCCATGTTGGGTAACACATTACCTGAAATCGCATGGCACAAGGCTGGAATCATGAAAAATGGCGCACCACTGATCGTCACTCCTCCGTCAGAAGATGCTTTATCGGTGATGAAAAGCCGTGCTTTAGAGCGTGGGGTGAGCTCACTGCTATTCCACTCATATTTTCGGTGCTCTAGTGTGTTCAAATAATGGTTGCTGAGAGCGCGTGTAGCGCAGTGGCTGAAAATGCTCTGCGACACATTCTTTGTCGATCAATTAATGGTTTATGGTTTAATCCCGCGCTCAATGCACACTAAGCAATCCATCTCTTTGGGGTCGCTGAATTGTTACGACTTGTGTAGCACTGAGTTTATTCATCAGTAGACCACCGTGAGTCATTGTCAAGGCTAGAAATGCACTTTATCACCTCAAGCGATGCTAGATAAAGAGAAAAGCATGGCGCATCTCATAAGAGGTCAACTGATCAGCACCAATGGCTTTATCCTTCATTTTATGATGACTGTTGAGTTGTACAATGAGTTTGTCCTCGTATTTAGGTAGAACTAAGGATTGCACCATCTCATAAGTCATATTCTTATGCGAAACAAAACATATCACCTGGGATTGCGGGGGAACATCAAAAATCCAACATGTCATTGGCGTTGCAGTTATCAAGGGTCTGGCTGAAACGAATGGGATGGGAAAGTTCGTCATTAATTGAGTAGCTCTCAAATGGCTTTGACGTATAGTTATATGTCATTGTCTTCGTTTAGTGTCTACATTTCCTGATGCGAAAGAGAACAGCTGGCAAGTTGGTGAAGCTTTCGACGTCCCAGCGGCGATTGTTGAAGCGATAGAGTCATGTAATTGGCGAGGACGGTGCCAGACTGTTGCTAAAGATCGAGTAACCTACTATCTAGACGGAGCACATACTCCTAAAAGTTTGGAAGTAAGATAGTTTACGTGAGACTATTCTACTTTTGGAACTATATTCATTTGTAGGTGTTATGTGTACTAAGATTACTCGTTTACTCAAGATTCATAGGTGTGCTCGAACTGGTACTCAGAGGTTCTAGAAACTGTTCCAACAAGGAAACGTGTGCTAATTTTTCATTGTACGGCAGAGCGAGATCCTTCCACTTTACTTCCATTTCTTACAGTGAGTCTCTGAAATTCACGCTGCTCAATTACATAGATAATCGACCTTGTATTGGAAGTGTCACCTGAAAAAAGCAACTTTTATAAGAAATTTCACAGCGATGATGCACTTTCATGACAAATAAACGTTTTTTACCTTCAGAAACATAAGTTTGACTACGCGTTGTTCTGTCCGACCGTACTAACTACGTTGCCTGACATGAAATCTGACGTAGACAAATCTTAACACTTCTGCGGCAGACCAACGAACTCGCAATGAACAGTGTGCAACAACGTGGAAGGAAATTGGAACTGGAGTAAGTCCTATGTCTTTCCCATGTTGTATTCTCGTTTTATTCCAAATCTTCTTGAGACAACATGTAGACCTGTTTTTCAGGAGGTTCTCGTGTTTGATTGCATAACATCGGCTGTCAACTGGGTAGAAAAGCAATCTTATACGGAAAATTTGGACGTATTAGTCACGGGAAGTTTGCATTTAGTGGGCGGTGTCTTATCACTTATTGAGCCTTCAGTAGAATAAATGTTTTTTGCTCACTTAATACTTATCTATACTTAAGATTAGTCTGTTACACAAGTTGTTTTTCTCAATAGTACTTCACCATGGATGGAATGCAGCTATATTATACTCTCGCGGACAACTAACGTCTTAGTGAAATTGCAGCGTTGGCCAGTATGGCACCTAGGGATATTGTCTTCTTTTTGGTCGCTGGTCTTGCTGCACAGAAGTTTTTTTCTACACGTCTAGTAATAAACCGGTAGCTAATCCAGTGCAGATGCTATGGTGGGCGTAATTCGTGGGAAGATATCTTATCACTGATTTCACTTTTAATAATTCCAAGAAAATCTTTTTTTGGACGAGTAGAGTGAAAGAAGCAGGTGACGGTCGAGTAGGTTGCTGCTATATCGTTCGGCTTTTAAAATAATTTGGACGTGGTGACAATGGAGTTTGTTAACGTTAGAGTTGGGGACTAAACAAGGTATAAAAATTGATCTTTCAACTCGAAGGACAACGCACAGCACGCTCAAATTAATGCGCCTGTCCACTTACAATGTTCATAAATTTCCCAGTACGTGTCAAACGATACTACTGAACTGGAAGAGTTGTGTCTCCAAGGGGCGATATTTTGATGCTAAGAATATGGGTAGCCTTCCTGTAAGCATCATACGTCTGTTATTGCTTTTACTAAATTTTTCAAAGTTTTGCGCTTCTAACGGTGATTGTTTCACTAGAGCCTCTTAGATAGTATCCTCAAGGGTTTTTCAGTAAAGTTATGAAGTACGAAAAAAGAATTTAATAAAAATTTACGGCGATTTATCTGACTGCGCACCTAGTAAGTAACATCCTAGATTTTCAGATCGGAATCAGTATCTTACCTACCTTATATAGACTCAGGTATAAGACATTATAGTGATCACATAATTGGTGAGTGTTAACAAAACATAAGCTTCAGAAGACGTTCGTTGTTTTCCATTTTAAAATCGCTACAATGACTTTTCTGTATCGTTTGGAATGATTAAGACAAAAAGTCAACCATTGCACTGATGCTTACACAGCTTTATAATATGTTGACAGGTGATTGCATGCAGGATTAGCTTTTGTTCATCATGCAGAATCATACATGCATGATGAGTTTGTGAGGGTGTATAGAAGAGTACAGGGCGAACGACTGCATAAAAGCTGCTGGGGTAATTAGTACGGCATATGTAGATGTCATAGTGATCACAGCGGAAAGCTAGATGTCCTCCTCTATAAACTAGAAGATAGGAGTTCTCGCGAGAGTAGTAGATTGTGGCATTTATTTTCCTTGTCTCTCCCCTCCTTCGTTAAGTCTACGGAATTGTTTTATTCGATTGTTGTAACATATTTAGTGTAAATCGAAATTATTTATCTCTCATATGTTCCATGTAATCTTTGACATGTAAGCAATATAATTGTACTTCACTCGTTTTCTACATATTTTCGAAGTACGAGGAACATTTTTGACCTATACTTGGAATTGATTGATTTTTTTTTACCTTACAAGTACATTTTGCATTTTTCAAATTGGAAGTCGCTTGTACTTGCTAGACTTTTCATTAGAGTGTCAGAACTTCTGCTAAAGACGTTAGATATTGAGTAATTTGTAGAATTTTTTTTTTATTCAAAACATTTTCAAATGTGCCTTGTACGTGTACTTTTACGCAGGTATAAAAGCATTTCTAACGAAAAATGTTGTAATCATTGGTTTGAACGCATTGTTTTACAACTGTACTAACGTAGGTACTAATATGTAGACTGCGACAAATGAAAAACCGACCATTTCGCTGAACAGGAACTTTTCATAGGAGTATTAGTAATAGTTCGAAAGCTTAAATCTCTGGTGAGAGCGTAGCGTGACCGTTTTTTGAAGAAGTTATTCTTATATCGCTTCAACGAAAGAAAAACTTTTTTGTTTCACGCACGCATCTTTCTATTAAGGCGGAGCTCTTTTTAGATTACAAGTAATAGTACGATACGTTAAGTTTCCACGATTCGCTGCTATGCTTATTTTCTGGAAAGACCGTCTCAGTGCAGTGTAACAGGGGAAATCAGACCGAGTTTCACTTTTTAGCGTACTTGTATATCGGCTGATTTACGGTCGGGATGTGTGGCGTCTGTAAATTCGCTGCGGCGGTCCTGTCATCGTTCGATCGATATACGTCTTCTGTCATATGAAAGGTACAATTTTTGTCATTCGATTAGGAATACATTCTCTGCTTTGAATGGAACTCCAAATTAAACGTCTGACTCCGATACTAAAAGATTTTGTCTACACGTTCATGTGCTTTCTCGTGCTTCCAGCGAAGTAGTTGTCGAACTGCGCGGCCGACCTAAAGCATAATTTTGGTTCGAATTTGACAGCGTTACGAAAAAATGTTTTGGAAAACCGGTTACGTACTGCGCTAGCGAGAGATCTAAGCTTTCGAATGACTACTGACACTCCTGTGAAAAGTTCTTCTCCAGGGAAAGGGATCAGTTTTTCATTTGTCGTCGTCCAAAAAATAAGTGTCACTTGTGGTGTTTACACGGGTGGCACGTTTAGCGGAAATACTACATCAAGGTTTGGTCAATGAAAAGCCGTTTTTCATCACTGATATCTTGCGAAGACCACTTCTCGAAAGGATTCTCTCGTCTGATTTTAGTTGCACAATGATGTTAAGGCGAGGTGCATGTGGATTTTTACCCCACTCATCATTATCTTAATTTAAGAATATCACGCTAAAAATAGAACAAGAGCTTCAGCACTCGTTCATTTGTATTCTTTTTTCTGATAACAGGACTTTTCATACATTGCAAAGTAAACTGCAACCAAGAATTCCTATGTCTATACCGCTTTTTGGCAGCGTTTGATGTTTCGAGTTCACTTGAGGGAATTGAGTGGTAGGCAAAAAATCGACCTCAGACGGGAATTGAACCCGTGTTCCATCCATAACGGAGGCGCGTGCTACCACTACGTCACAGATGCCACCGCTTACTCACACTACTCATTCTTCAAGATCACTCTGTAGCTATCAGCCACCAACCTTCTACAGGTTTGGTCGAGTAAGCAATCGCTCTATAAACCACTTGAACTCAGTTTTGCCTACCTTATTCATATAATTTTTAATTCATAACACTGTAAATGAGCAGCTACCCACACCACTCTTTTAAAATTTATATCTACATCTCACTCCCTTCAA